CACCTTGAAGCGCACCCGGAAGGCCACCGGCAACCAGTGCAGCTCGCGCAGCAGCGGTGTTACATGGGAGCGACGAGTCCCTCCCAACACCGCCCGCGCGGCCGCATTCTGGACCAGTTGAAGCCTCCGGGTGCTCCTCAAGGGGAGCCCCATGTAGAGAGCATTACAGTAGTCCAGGCGGGAGGTAACGAGGGCATGGCTGGCTCAGGAATTCTGGGAGTTGAAGTCCACGAGTCATAAAAGAGCCAAGGTTGCCTACCCCTGCACTAGACTAAACTGGCTGTCTTTGATGAATGTTTCTACTTCTTTGTTTTTAGCTCTTTAATGTTTAGTCTTTAATCAAATGTTTTTAGTTCTTGAATGTTTCTTTGATTAATGTTGCTAGTTCTTGAAGGAATAAAGAAACCTCTGCAAATACAGCCTGATAAGAGAACTGGTTCAAACTTGCCAAGGACAAGGATTCTCGTTTCTCGTACGTAGACTTGAACTTTAGTAACTTGCAAACTCATTATAACGTTAGGCCTCCTGAATATGTAGATAAGCATTAACAAGATCATATTAAGAAATTATGGGATGTTTCATGCTACGTGCTAGAACCTCTGAGATATGTCAAATGATATTAATCAACCAAAGAACTCACTCCAAACCCTATATGATTGAAGTGATTAAAGTTAAAGTGCTTCTCCACATGAGGAGTTCTTGGTGCTCTCTGAGCTTGATTGTTTTCTTGTTGACTTTTTATTACCCAAATGAATCATCTGATGATGTTACCTAGTTTGGGTAATGAAACACCTACAAGAAAACAACCAAACTCGGAGAGCACCAAGGACCCCTCATTTCAACCCTGAGTGGCAAATATTCTCCTTTATTGATTCTCCATCTTTCTAAGGGGCTCTTCAAATGGGTGGCGTGTCCTCTTCGTTTGTGTAGATAAATAAAGAAACAAAAATTAGTCTACATTTCTGGCTCAGGTTGTATTTGGGCAAGGCACACCAGACTAACATATCTGCCAATGTTTCTGGCAGGGGTCCCCAACCCCCGGGCCGTGGCATGCCAGAAACCGGGTCGTGCACACAAGCGAAGCCCAATCCGCGGGATGTAGGCAGCATGCGAAACCACGCCCCTCCAGTCCACGGAAAAACCTCTTTCCTCAGAATCGGTCCCTGGTGCCCAGAAGATTGGGGGCCGCTGCTTTATGGCTAACATACCTTTGCTTTTCTCTTACTTGAATATGGCTTGGCCTGTTTATTAATTGGAAACATTTGTACCCAAGTTCCCAAAATAGGTATATTTTGGAATATTCCCATGTAACACTGCATCATTTCATTTAAAATGCAGTATCCTGATAGTTTCTATTTCTATGTAACACTAAAATTGAGAAATATTCAATGACATTTCAACTGAAATGCAATCAAACCGTCGTCACATCTAACCAGATCTGAAAATCCACCTTGTCCTTGATGTGGGGGAGAGCGTGTGCATATTTACCCAGTATTCATTATGCTAAGCCTATGGTTCAGATTTCAACTGAAAGTGCTTTTTTTCATCTTTTAAAACTATCATAATCTGAGCCACCTTATCTTACACAGACCGTTTTGCCAAGCATTGCAGAATTCTCAGTAATAACCATTACTCTCTAAGAAATTGTGACAATTAAAGGCCATGTAACCAGAAGTCTTCCTAATTACGGGAAAGCCAACTTTAACTAACCCAGTGACAGTTGGTGGTATTATATACTATAAGTGCTTTTGCCTACTGGTTTGTCACAGAACGCCACACTAAGGAACACATCCAAATAATAATAATAATAATAATAATAATAATAATAATAATAATAATAATAATAATAATAATAATAATAATAATAATAATAATAATAATAATAATAATAATGTTGGAAGGGACCTTGGAGGTCATCGAGTCCAACCCTCTGCTCAGGCAGGAACCCTACACCATTTCGGACAAATTGCTGTCCAGTCTCTTCTTAAAAACTTCCAGTGTTGGAGCATTCACCGCTTCTGGAGGCAGGTTGTTCCATTGGTTAATTGTTCTAACTGTCAGGAAGTTTCTCCTTAGTTCTAAGTTGCTTCTCTCCTTGATCAGTTTCCATCCGTTGCTTCTTGTCCTGCCTTCAGGCGCCTTGGAGAATAGCTTGACTCCCTCTTCT